TCCAGGTTATCTGCGAGTGTATCATTGCTAATCCTGTTCCGCAAGTTCTGCTTTCAATTGGTCTCTGGTGAAATCCTTCCAGATCGCGTGGCAGGAGATGCTAAATACCCTTGCACGTTGGTGGCGTTTGATGCATTGGAAGAAGACATTGAAGTGAGTCCTCAGTGGCATCCTCCATCGGCTTCTAACCTCCGCTGGCCTTGTGTCCTCCATTCTTTTCGCTGTTTTTATGCGTGCTTTTTTTACTTTACTTTCCGGGCAAGTGAATGTTAGCTGACCAGCACGGCATTGATAGAGTCAGGATCTTACCGTCGTCCTCTCTGTTTACTTAAATGAGAACCTTTGTCGACAAGACTGAGGGGGCGTTGTTTACCACTGTCAGCTATCGTATTTCTGAGCCCTCACCAACCGATAGTCCTGTGTGACACAATCTGTACGACTGTCGAGCCAAACAGCAAAAGGGGAGAGGCCAGAACACGGAGCCACAGAGTGCAGAGAGGAAAGGAGGAGAAACAACTACGGACGGGGTACTGAAAAGGAGAGGAATAGACACCATCTGCCTCACCCCCTTTCGGCCTGCGGTCAGCCGTTTTCCTTCACGCCCCTACTTCCCACCTCGTCACCCGTCATCGTTCGGTGCCATTTGACTCCTTCAGGTCCAGACTTCTGTCTGTTTCGCTTTCATTATTTGTTATTCTCTGTCATAGCATCGCTGAATTTCTCTCTTGTATCTTCTCGTGCGGCGCAGTCGTTGCTTTCCCTTCCTTTGCTTTGCGAGGCGGAGCTTTTTTGAGCACTTCGTCCGTTTGGTCCTCCTCACCTTCACTTTTGTCACCAGCTCGTCTGTCATTCACTGCTCCGTACTTCTTTCTTATTTCCCCACCCTCTTCTTGCACTTTTCTTCTTTTTATCTTTCCTTACATTTCGTTACTGTCGTTCAAGATCGTTATCTGTGTTTCTTATTTGTGTTCCACCCAGACACCTTGTGTTTAACTCTCGTTCAGCTTGGGCAGTTCACTGTTTGCGATTCACTCATCCACTCCTTGTCTCCACGTTTCCCGCACATTCACAACCCCAAAAGCGAGATTTTATTGCACATTCATTCATTATCTCGTTCGTTTACCCACTGTCCGACTGTTGCTCAGTCCACCTTAACCTTGGACAAATCCGATTTATCTAGATTTGGTACAGCAGCACAATTACCCATCCTATTAATTCAGCGTTTTGCTTGTGGCACCTCGACCTCGTATACGGAGGACACAAACGACATTCGCCCAACCGTATCCAGCAGACTCGTCCGGGCGCGCTCGTGGCCTTGTGATATCCCCGTGCAGATTCCAGGGGCTTGCAGAGCGTTTCCATCTGGTTGCCATCGATACACGAAAACGACATCCTCAAACAAACAGACTTCACAGGTGTAGGAAAGCACCTCTTATGGATGTGACCCTTCCTTCAAAATGACAATGGCTCTTCGTCGACGTTTCTCCTTTCCTAGCTTCACCGGAAGTGCGTGGTCCATCTCCGCCGTTGTTGGCGGGATCCTGCTTTTCGGATTCGCTTGCCCTGCTGCGGCCGATTGTGAGTGTGGATATTCGACGGTAATCGACGGTGATGTGCAGGCCTTTACCGACTTGATCGAAACGGATTTTGCGCACCTTGACAACATTTCGACAAACACCGATTGGGTGCGGCAAGCTTTCAATGTGACAAGCGAGAAGGACCGCGGCAGCTATGGAGAGATGTACGCCATCGAAAACATGCGGACACAACCGGACCCGAACGGTCAGGTCGAGGATGGGCAAGCCAAGAACGGCCAACCTGCGGGTTTGGACTTGACTGTGAAGGCCAATATCGTCGCTGGTATGGTGCCCGTGTCCGAGATCGACACCAACCGGACGGATATTCTGTACGGAAGCTTCCGTGCAGGCATGAAACTAACCAACGTTTCTGGAACCTGTTCCGCGTTCTTCTGGGTATGTATAACTATGACAATGGGATATGGGCGCAGGTAAGTCAGTGCCTTACTGACATCTGTTGCTGTTAGTATTTCAACGACACGCAAGAGATCGACATGGAGTTTTTGTCCAAAGAGTACAACGCGTCCAACAACACGTATCCCGTCAACCTTGTGCTGCAGTCCCGCGAGGCAGCCGAGGATGGATTCGACGCCCAAGGCACCCCGACCTTTCTTAAAGTCAACCTTCCGTTCGACCCCACCGCAGACTTCCACGAGTACCGCATCGATTTTCTACCGGGCAGCGTCTATTTTTACGCCGACAGCGAGCTCCTCGCCGAAATGGACAGTGATGCTGTACCGACCCACGCAGGCCATCTTGTCCTGCAACAGTGGAGCAATGGGAACCCGCTATGGTCGGCCGGACCACCGACGGAAGATGCTGTTACAACTGTCTCGTACGTCAAGGCCTACTTCAATTCGTCCTTGCCCCAGCGCCAGCAAGACTGGAGCCTCCGATGCCGCGATCCCAGCGCACCGGGTGCCGTGTGTACCATTCCCGACTCGACGGCGACAAACACGACTCCGGCAGGTTGGTTCTTTACGTCTCAAAACAACATGACCAACAACCAGACAGTTTCTGGCCAGAAAAACAGTGGCAGGATAACAACTGCAGCGACTGTCCTTTGGCCAGTGTTTGCCATCGTCTTTGCTATTGTTGGCTGGGAGCTCAATATATGGTAATGCGGGAAGCGCGAGATATTGGCAGGGAGCGGGTGTTTCCAGTAAGCCGACAAAAGGTCTCCCTGGCCAGATCGAAGGATCCGCGTATATAACAAAAGCTGGGCGTCTACAGTTTCTCATTTCTTCTTGTTTCTTTCTTGGGTCCTTGGCTCTGTTTGGGACCCTTTCTTTGTTTGAATTTTTGGGATTTGGTACTTGGCTAATTTGGCTAGAGATGGAGCACCATTTTGATTTAACCTAGGCTGCACATACTTTGTTATTTCTTTTCAATTATTTGGAATTGTCTGTTGGGTTGGTTTCTCTCGTCTCTCGCGCGAGTGATTGCCTACGTTTACCAAGGATCGTTTTGGTACGGCCGCTTTCTTGATTTATATTTTAATACTGATTTCCTTTCCACGACAGCATGCCACAGAAAAGGTTAACCATCCTCGCGGCCGGCCGTTATTCTCATGCTGTTGTGACAACTCCACACCGAAAGCAACATGTGTGTCTAGGACGGACCTTCGGCTACCCTCCTAGGCCCTTTTCTCGGAAACCCAAAAATAAAGCCGAATCAGATGCATGCAACGTTCCGCGAGAATGATGAGCGGCACCTTCAGATCCAACATGGCAGCAAAGTGTCAAGTCACAAGGCGGAAATGTCTCTCGGCGAGTATCTTATCAATCACTTTGTGTCGCGTGTCGCTGTGCCTTACTTCCTTACTTTCTCCTTCTTTCTTGTTTTCTCTTTCCTCTATTTCTCTGTTCACTTGTGCTTTGCGTCCCTCTTTGAATTTTATGATTTTCTTCTTCTTTTTCACTTCTTGTTTTATATTCTTTATTAGTTACCATGCGTTGGAACTTTCAAATCTCGACAAGGCTGTGTAGTGTCATTGGCCGCGTCTACCTCTTGTTGTCCCATGTTGGCCAGTAGCACGACGTACAAAGTTGCAAACTGACTGGCTTGTTCCGAGAGGACCGCGGAGCCTCGCGGATAACTTAAAAGCGATACTGCTTCGTACTTCAACAACCCCTGCCTGCCACTCGTCAATCTTTTCCCATGTCGTCGTCGCCGGCTCGAGTTCAAACGAATAGGCCGAAATATCGTGCTAGTGCGACCCCAGGTTTCACCTTCCTGAATCTTCTCTACCATTTTTACTTTCTTGTCTCTTCTACACCTCTCCCGTCTGCATCCATCTTCTCTCACGGCCCGATTGGATTTTACGAGAGATGACTTGAGGGGAAAAGCGGCGGGTGACACATGTCACGGTCTACGACGTGATGAAAAACGAACAAAACGCATGGCAACACCGTTCTGCACGATGAGAACCCGGTTCGCAGTTGACAAGTGCGCTTCATACATTGTGAATGTGGTTCGGGGACGGTGCCAGGTTTGGGTTGCATTCTACCGAATGCTCGTGGCCCCCAGAAATACAACAGAGACTCTACACACGAGCAACTGCCCCCCCTCCATAAAGATACTGGGTCGATATGACCTGCAAAGTTCAGGAACAGCTACATTTGACGGCGTGTGTGCCAATCACCTCACGCGCCGCAGAGCATCTCCTGAGTCCATAACCCGACAAAAAATGGGCCAAACATGGGAAGGGAACCAAAGACACTAGTTCATTCTCTCGACTCCAAGTGTGCCTTTCCCCGGCCTCACTTAGCTTAGACCCCAGTCCGCCTTCCCCGGCCTAGTTTGTCCTCATGGTGCCCATCATCCCATGTTGCGGCTCATGCTTTTCTTCGCGAGCAGGTCGCCCACGTTGGTAATTTTCACATTTTCTCCGTTAGGTACATCGATCGTCTCGGTCGGTGAATCTTTCGAGGCGCTCGGTCTCTCTGCATGTGGGAGAGGTAGGTAGGGTATTTCTCAAAAGTCGTACGTTGCAAGATCGTCATGATCCCCCTTTTGTGTTGCATCAAGCTTTTTTTGTTCTAACTTTATTTTTAATTACCTTTTTTTAGCTCAACGTGTGCCTTATCCCGCCCCTCATCGTCCCTCGCCGACGTAAATCTATCCCTTGATGGCACTCTTTCAAGTCAATGATATACGTTTTTGGTTTTTATGGCACCTTATTCTCTTAGCCTGCGAAACAACCATGACACAACCGGGGCATAACCAGAGGCACAGTCACAAACGTCTTGTGAAAATATCACAAGCAGAAGAGCAGATACAAGCGAATGAACGGGAATAACGGCATATTCAGGGTCCGCCGAACAACAGAGTTTGCAGAAAAGACTGCGCCGCGATGCGACGATGATCTACTCCGTCTTGGCGATCGCGCCTTCCTTGGGGCATTTTCTGCTTTCCACTTTCCTATTCGGGACGTGTAAATGACTCGGCGCTAATATCTTTGCATCGCAGCTTCCAATCTCCGTTCTTTTTATGAGCATGGCACGCCTTCCCGAAATGGTACCTGAACCAGAAGCCACCGCCGCTGCCGTTGGCCTGCGCCTGCACGCTAAAGATAGCCAATTGCACTTGCACTTTCGGCCACGGCATGCAAATCAGCTGTCGCGCCTCTGTCTGTCTGGGGCTCCACATTCCAGTGGCAGACTGGCTGTTGTCCTTTCCTTTTTGTGTCGACATCTTTCAGATTGTATCGCAAGATCTGCATCATCCCTTGTCACCTCTCCCACCACGTCTTTATGGTTTCTTGCCGTCTTGTCACCTTACCTGGTGCTCTAGCCCCTACAAAGGGAGAAAGACGGCAGAAACTGGCCAAGGCAAAATCGAAAGACACGTATTCGACAGCATTTCGCGATATTGTCGACAACGCAAGGCCTCTACTCGGGAGGCAGAATTGCACTGCTCTAACGAGCCAACAGAGGCATGCGTAGTAGCCGATGCGCAATTCCCCGAATCCTACGCGACACCTTTCATCGACCATCATCCTTCATCCTGACGACGATCTTTTTCGGAGGAGACCCTGGTATCTACACTGCTCCACCCTCCACCCCCTTTTATGATCTCAACTCATCTCGGTCGCTTTTTCTTTCTTTCTACGAAATAAGGTTGTATCAATACCAGTTTTCCACGAAGGTAGGGTGGCTTGGCCTTTCTCTTCTCTTTCGTCTCGTCTCTCCCCCCTACCACCTTCGCATCCATCGCCCGGATCAATCACACGTTGTCAGCGACGCCGAACTACACTTCAGCGCCAATCCTACCACGTGGTCCTTTGAGAGTGCATGAGACGCAAGATACCACTCTCAAGTGTCTCATTTGACCCGTTTTACCTTGGGCCGTCTCATATGTTCTGCGCCCTCTGGACGTACGGCGGTCATGTCTTTCTGCGGTGCTGGCCCTTCTTGATGGAAGTTGATGTCCATCACGCAGGAGCAAAATGGTGATCCTTCGCCGGGGTCTGCCGGACCAGCGTCCCCTATTCAGCTGTGCTTGCGCCATCATGAACCTTTACTTTGTTCGTGCCGGGACAGGCATGGTAAAGTCAGAGTGAGGTTTAGACACAGCCAGCATAGACCGATTCTCTTTCGTTTTCCTATATAACAAAGCAGCTTTCGTCGACTGTCTCGAGCATCAAGAGAGCATGCGACTCCCGTATTGAAGCGTTACGACATTCAGCACATATACCATCACTTTCACCAACTTCCATTCAGTCCTTCCTTTTTGTCACTTGAGACACTCATTTTCTAAACATTACCTTTTTATATCCTCTTACATTGGTCGTCACCTGGTGACGTACCCTGAATCGCTTCAGCCTCGTCGACGAACGCTTGCGTATCGCTAAGACCCTGATCGTCGTTGTCTCTGCAAGACACCCGTCGTGAACCTCTCGTTTTACCTGTTTTGTCGTCATATGTCCAAGTTGCTCTCCTTCTTTCCTGTTTTGCCCTATTTTTATCTTATCGTCGGCTCCGAGATTTTCCCGGCCCACTCGATATCTCCATTCCCGAGACAACACCTCAGCTCGTGCAGTTCTGGAAACTCAGACCACGCAACGCTCTCTTTTTCCTGCCACACGCACGTTTTTATGCCCGTTATCTGATTTTGCTGGGCCACTTGATCGCCATCTTTTTTAATTAGCGGCACTAGAAGCATTCCAGACGATTTATTGAAGGGCCATTGTGACCCCATCCACCTCTTATATCGTCCGCTGTGAAGCCGTGCCTGGAATTTTGTCCCAGTCACATTCCAGCCATATTGCATTCCAGCTTCCCGCACCACCGCCAAAGGCACACATTCTGTCGATACTACGAACGATCTCGCACATCAGCCCTCCAATTAGCTGACACCCGAGACATTCTCCCCGCATAGACCATACGAAGGGCCTTTTGACATTGTGAAAATCGCCCTATCGCGCCGACCAACCTCTTGTCTAGCGACAGTTGACGACACCAGCAGCCAAGCAGCATACCAGACAACGGGAAGGACACACGACAGTCCGCTTCGGCCGATCAGTCACTCTCTGCCAAGCAGCTGGTAAAAGACACGCAAGCCTCAATTCAGATTTATCTGTGGCTGGTAGCATTGAGAGGAAAGGCGAAGGAGGCAAAATCCCGTATTGCTTCAAATCGACGTACTTTTGCAGCTGTTTCTGTTGCCCGAGGCGAACTTTTCGAAGATAAATAGACCTTGAGCTGTCTTCTTTCAAGTAACTTGATTCTTTCTTGTTTTGTTCTCTCTCTCTCTCTCTTCATCACTCGCTCTTTCACTCTCAAACCACCATCTGTCAGTGTTGCCGCCTCTTTAGACGACATTGATAGCTCGAGAGACCTTTCATCCACCCAACTGACGACACCAAACCAGCACATTCGTTTTTACGTCGGACCGACCCCAACCGCAACCATGACGACTGTTGACGATTCCATTCGTAATCAGAACGAGTCGGGCATCCTGGCGGCGCCCACGGATCCTACTTCAACGTCCACCAGCACCAACGGGCCCTTTGCGCCGTCGATTACGCCCGTGTCGGCTTCGGGCACGCCGCCGACCATGAAGATTGCTCTGCAGAACAACACCACGTCAAACACGTTGTATGCTTACATCACCGGCCTCGACATCAACAAAAACAACGCTGTCTGGCTCCTTCGGAGCGACGGTGTCAGCTCCTACTACCCGGAAAACCCTCCGACCGACCTGTCGCCTCTGGCGGCCAATGTATCCATTCAGATTGGCGGCCCCGGCAGCGTCCGGACGGTCACCATCCCGCAGGTGGCTGGTGCCCGCATCTGGTACTGCCAGGATGCCGAGCTCACATTCCGCCTGAACCGTGGCGCCAGGGGCGCCGCTCTGGTCGAGCCCTCCGTCTCCAACCCGTCCGACCCCAACTACAGCCTGCGGTGGGCCTTTAGCGAGTTCACTTTCAACTCGTTCCAGCTCTTCGCCAACATCTCTTACGTGGACTTTGTCAGCATCCCCGTCGCTATGCGGCTGACATCCACCGACGGCACACCTGTCCAGACGGTTGCGGGCATGCCCTCCAACGGTCTTGACTTGGTGTGCGAGGCGCTGCAGGCACAGCAAAAGGTGGACTGTGCTGGCTGGGACCAGCTGGTTGTCCAGGTCAGCTCGCCCTCGGCGGGCACCAGATTCCTCCGCGCGCTGTCGCCCAACAACGGCCTGGTCCTCAACAACAAGCTGTTCCGCAACTACTTCGACGCCTACGTCGACCAGGTCTGGTCCCACTACACGTCGACCCCGATCACTGTCGACACGCAGGCCCAATGGGGCACCGTCACCGGCCAGGTCGACAGCTCTGGCGGCCTGACGTTTCCTGGCGTGGGCACGTTCCCCAAGCCGAGCACAGCCGACATCTTCTCGTGCAGCACGGGTGCCTTTGCCCCGTACGCCATCAACACAGCTGAGATGGGCAACCTGACGGCTCGCCTGTCTGCTGCCTTCAACCGCAGCACGATGCTGACCAGCGCCAGCCAGCCCAGTGGAGCGCCTTCGAGCTACTACCAGAACCCCGTCACCAACCACTACTCGCGCATTGTCCATGCCACCAACCTTGACGGCCGCGGCTACGCCTTCCCTTACGACGATGTGGCGCCCAATGGCGGTGTAGACCAGTCTGGTGCCGTGTCGAGCGGTGCCCCCGATGTTTTGACCGTCTACATTGGCGGCGGCGGCGCGAGCGGCGCGGCTGTGGCCTCCAACGCCACGCGCTCCAACCCCATCCGCCTGCGCGACATGGCCCGCCGTGGTCGCCAGCTCGTCGGCGGCCGCCAGCACTTCCGCCGCTCGCTGCCTTCGCCGCCGCCCAGCGAGACGGCCTTGCAGCAGCAGCAGGCCACCATGGCGCCGTTCCTCAACATGGCTGCCCCGGACGTCAACGTCGACGAGAAGATGCTCCTTCAGGCCCGGGATCACGCCGCCGAGGCTGCGGTGGATCAGGAGAAGGGCCTGCAGCAGCAGCTGCTGATATCGACCAAGAATGGCCTGCCTCCTGCCCCGGCAGCCACTGCCGCACCTGACCTGTCCAAGCGCTTCGCCCTGCTCCTGCACCAGGCGCTCGTCTACTTGTGGGCAGCCATCTGTGGCATGGGCCGTTCCGTCTGGGCGCTCGTGCCTCGCCGCATCGCCCAGCCTGTCGGCGCGTTCTGCAGCCGTGTCGCGTCGTCGCCGGCGGTGACGGCGGCCTCGGCCAGCATGTCCTCGTTCGTCTCGTCGGTCGTCAAGTCCGCTGCCGCTTCGGCCGTGGCAGCCATACTGATCCGTCCGCTGGTGGTTCGTGCCGTGCTCACGGCTGCCGTGGTGCTCATTACCTACGCTGCCACCGCGGGCGGCAGTGCCGGTGCCTCGCCCATGGTGGCCTCGGCTGTGGCCACGATGAGCGGCTGGGTGGAGGAGCTGACCGGCAGCCGTGCTGCTCCTCTCTCCTAGAGTATACATGTCCGTGACATACACACACTCAAACCCCCCCCCGAAACACACTTCACAAGGCCCCACTACACATAACACACCCTGATCTCCCCTCGTCACTTCACTACTAGCCTCATCCCGCAGTCCTCTCCCAACACCCAGAACCTTTTCACTTGTTCTGCACATATTTATACTACTTACCACTGTTTCTTCTCTTCTTTGGCATTTCAGCACCGCGCTGGCCCTTGTGGATCTGCCCCCTTTTTACGCAAGCGTTTTTGTCTTTGTTGTAGTTAGTTTCACGATCACATTTTTATACCTTTTTCATTTCCTTTCTTTTGTTTACATCGGAGTTTAGACGTGGAGGACCATAACTAGCATAGCCCCTATTTCCTTAGATACTTGATTAGCTTTCGCTATTAGATAGATTCGAGCACATGGGCTCATGAAATTCAACACATTATAGGCATTACTGAATGATTCCACTAGTAAACAAATATGGACATAATGGACATAACCCAAACAGAGTTGATTCATTTCGCAATGGTTATGGCTCTTTTGGTTGTTTTGGTATTTTATTTGACCTTTTCCATTATCATACAAATAGGTCATCATCGTACAAAACCACCGTGACCAGATGACGAGCCCCATTAATCAACCATTCGCAGCCGCTGTGCTTTCGCTGTCCGTAGGTGGAGGGATGGAGGCAACTGGGGCTGCTGTCACGGCACCAGTGGGCGGTGGATCAGGTGCAGTCTCTGGGGCAGGAGTAGTGACATCTTTCTGCATGGAAGCTTCTGTGGAGGACGACGTAGTCGCAGGAGCGGCAGGAGCGGCAGGAGCCGTAGGAGCGGCAGGAGCCGTAGGAGTCACATGAGCTGCCGCGGCAGGCGGGATCTGTACCGGCTGGGCAGCGGGAGCAACTTGGACGGCAGGAGCCATCGGCGCAAATGTGGCTGGCGCAGGGACGGTGGCTGTGCTCGCCCGATCGGCTTTGACGCTTTCAGGAGCAGTCGAGGCAGCAGAGGCAGCAGGCGTCTCGGCCGGCTTGCTGTCCTCTGTCTTGCCATTGGCCTGGATCTGCTGGGTGCCGTCTCCATTTGTCTGGCCACCCTCTGTCTTTTGTCCGTCTTTTCGTTCGCCGTCCTTCTCATCTTTCTTGTTGCCATCGGCACTCTCCGCCGGCTTGGGTTCCCTCTTCTTCAGCTGTGTCGGGTCCACAAAGCCGTCTGGCACGCCCGCAGCGGCCGGAATCGGTGCAGCAGTCGCCGTGGTACCGCCCGGTCCGACCCAGGCGCCCACAAGCTGGCTCCACCGCAGCTCACCCTTGACAAGCTTGCGGATCTGCTTGTAGGCGAAGGCGTTGTAGAATGGCAGGCCGGTTTCGACGTCGCGGTAGCGCGCCGGGTGACCGGTGATGCTGCAGATGGGCGCGTGCGCAGGCTTGGCAATCTTGGCCATGCGGCGGCCAAACAGAATCTGCATCTGGACCTGCTTGTCCTCGATGGCGTCCTCGTCAAAGTTTTGGAGGACGATGCAGCTGCGCGTAATACGGGCATCGGCGGGGGCGGCATCGGCTGGAGCAGCAGCGGCGGCCCCAGACGCACCGCCGACCGGTGGCGGAACTGCCTCGCCTGGTTTTGACGGTTCGACCGGCGCAATTGTCGCTGTTGCTGGCGCATCGTCCTGGGCAGGGACTGCACCTGTGACCGACTTGGGTGGCGGCGGCGGCGGCATCGCGTTTTCGACAGGCGTTGGTGCTCGTAAGGCAGTGGACGGCACATTGCTGTCCGATGGCACAGTCTCTACAACAGGCTGTGCTGGTGCAGTCTTTGGTGCCTCCGTCAGCGAATCCTGAACCGCGTCTTGTTCGGTAGCTGATACTGACGACGTCTCGCCTATCAGAGTTACTGTGGGTGTTGGGGTCGTTTGAGTCTCTCGTGACGTGGCTTTTGGCTCAGCTGTTGGTGCGCTCGTTCCAGCCGGAGATGCTATCGTGTCTCCAGTAGCAGGAATCTCGTCAGGAGCAGTCGTGGGCACAGACTTGTCGTCTGCACTGGGATCGGAAGGCTGTGGGGGTTGGGCAGCAGGCAAATTGCACGGCACGGCTGTTGGTGTAGGTGCTTCTTGTTGTCCCCCGGTTAATGTAGGGACAGTCGGAGGTGGGACCGGAGCCGGCGGCGTGGGTGCTGCCTCTGTGGATGTCACCTCCGCGGATGCTGGCGGTGCATCGTTCATGCTGACTTTGGTGTTTTCGGTGGCAGCTGGTGTGTCCGCCGTTGGCACATCTGTGACTGGAGCATCCGTCATCGCCACATCCGGGTCACTCTTGTCTGCAGTACCGGGTTGCGCCATAACGCCGGTGGTGGATGAGCTCGGCGCCGGAGGAAGACCAATGGGCTGGAAAGCAGCCTCGGAGTACGTTGGTGGTGCTGTCGTTGCTGTTGCTTCGGTGCTGGATGTCGCAGTGCCGTCAGCCGGGGCTGCACTGGGTATGGCGACGGCATTGGACTGTGTTTGAGCAGCCTGTGCATCTCCCGCTGGGGCTGACGCTGACGCTGACGTTGACGCTGGTGCGAGTGCTGGTGCTGGTGGTGCACCGTCTGTTCCCTCTGGCGGCTGTTTCTCTGGCGCGTTGGTGTCTGCTGTGATCTCCTTTGCTGGCACGCCGTCTTCCTTTTTCACCTCGCCTGTGTTTGGGGGTTCACCCTCTTTTGGCTCTTTTGGCTCGTTTGGTGGCCCACCCGCCTTGGCCTCCTTCTCCTTCTCTTCGGCGGCCGCTTTCTCTGCCGCCGTCAGCCGCTTCTTGCGCGGCGCCTTCTCCTCCATGGCCACCATGCGCCCGACGTGCGACTGCAGCAGGCCCTCGCCCGTCAGCTCGACGATGCCGCTCCAAAACGTTACGACGGGCCCCTCGAGCGTCCGGTTGTACATGGCCGCCAGCTTGGCGGCGCGCTCGGCCTCGCGCTGCTTCTCGGCCTCCTCCCACGTGTTGAGGCTGCGGGCGTTGGCCTCTTCGACAATGGCGGCCTCCGCCAGGCGCTCGGCCTGTGTGAGGGGCGGTTTCTTGTTGGCCTCGTCGCGGGCGGCTTTTTTCGCCATAATGGCCAGCTGCCGCTCGCGGCGGCGCTCGCGCTCCGCCATTTGCTGGTAAAGCTGTTCCTTGCTGGTGCGGGTGGTGGTGCGGGACGACGCGCGCACGGGCATGTCGGCAGCCGTCGGCAGCCAACTGGCGCGCTCGCTCTTCTTCTTTTTGCGCGGCGGCGGCGGCTGGGACGACGGGAAACCGGGGGTCGGTGTAGCGGACGGCGTGGGTGTTGAGCCGCCCGACGCCGACACGGAGCCGGGTGCCCGTCTGCGGCCACCGCGGCCACCACGGCCCGCGGCTGCACCGGCCGCACCGGCCGCAGTCTTCTCGGGCTGGTCGATGCGCACTTTTTTGCGGAAGCGGGCCGGGATGGCCGCCTGGGCTTTGCGTTTGCGCGCCGCATTGCGCTTCTCGCGCTCTTTGCGTTCCAGCTCGCGCTCCCCCGCCAGGTCATCGGCACCCTCCCCGCCCCCTTGGCCGTCGTCGTCGTCGTCGTCGTCGTCGTCGCTCGTGTCCATGTTTTCGTCGTCGTTCTCGGCATCGTCGTCGTCGCGCCGTCGTCTGCGGCCTTTTGTCTTTGCCGCTGTCTTGTTACCGCGCCCAGCATCATCGTCGTCGTCGTCGCCGTCGTCAACGTCGCCGTCGTCGCTGCCATCTTCTCCGTCCTCATCCAGTGACCACCCGGCGTCCTCGCCGTCGTCGGCAAACAGCAGCTCCAAATCGTCGGCGTCCTCTGGGGTGCCCCGGCCGCCGCCGGTCCCCGACCCCGACAGATCACCGCCGGCCGCCGCGGCTACACTCGCAATCAGGCTCTTCATGCGGTTGCCCGCCGTCGCGCGCTTGGCGCGTCCCGTGGCCAGCCATTCAATCTTCTTGGGCGGCGAGGAGGAGGCGTTGTTGGAATGGTCGTCGTCCGAATCGGAAGCGCTGGAGAGTTCGGACGGCGAGGCTGGTGGGTGGTTTGTGGTGTCCGTATCAACAACCTTGTCCGTTGTCGTAGCCGCTGTGGCGGTCGCAGCCACGCCGTCGTCTTCGGTCGCCATCGTCGTGATGTTGGTTGTGATGGGGACCGATTGTGGGTGGTGTAAAAGAGAAGCTTTCTTTTCTTGGTGTTGAATGTCGAAAAACTTGGGGCCTCACGGTAGTAAGATAGCCATCCTACAGCGCTGAGTCGCGTCTTTGCTCACAGAAATTTTGGGGCACGAGCCTAGACCGTGTCTTATCTTATCGGCGTTCAGGGAGACTTATAGCGACAGCCGGGTCACGCGTCGCCACCAAACTCGCCGCCAATACGTCGCTAGCGCACTACACTTTGCGGTCTCATCGTGCTGCCGTTCTTTAATCTATCACGCGTTACAGAACCTACAGCGAACAGTCTTTCTATAAATATACATTCAAGGATCCTGGTCGTCTACCGTATGGCGTGACTATATACAACCTACTAATGTGGTCAAACGCAATGTACAAGGAAACACAGTAGACAAACGTGCCTGAAGAGACAAAAAAAAGAAAAAAATACACGAAGCAGAACGAAAACCATCCGCCAGAAGCCTTGGAAGAAAATCTATTCTTATGTATGGAGTGATATATTTGCAGAGTGTTTGGTCATGGTGCATTGCTTGCCTCTGCTGCGCCGGCATTGTCCCGAATGCTGTGTGATATGAATAAAGAAAAGCTGAGACGCAAAGACTGGCTGAAACCGAGAAAGGAACGCCGACAAAGGGAGCAATAATGATATAGTAAAATGAAATACAAACAACAAAAAAACACCAAAGATAACCTCACAGCTCATCCGTTACGCCCCATTCTCTGCAAAAGCCGAGCCAGCTCCTTTGCAGGCAGCGCTGTTTAGAGGTGGGCGGCGTGGTGGTGACGGGCGGCACGACTGGGGCCACTGGCGCTGTCGGTCCCGTCGGCGGTGGCGTGATGGTGCTCGTCTGCGTGCTGGTCGACGTCGTGGCGGGCGCTTCGTCCCAGCACCCCCAGAAACGACCAGGGGTCGAGCAGGTACTGGATGTCTCGGTCGGTGACGGCCTCATCCGTGGCGACGTTTTTGTCGTGGATGGATCTGCGGAGACGGGCGACGTCTTGCTCGAAATGGACGTAGATGTCGACGTCGACGTTGACGTCGATAACGACTCGGTCTCGTCGAGACAACCCCAGAACCGCCCGGGCGTGGCGCACGTGGTTGTGGTCCGTGTCTCCGACGTCGTGGTCGTTGACGTCGTCGGCACGTCCCGCGTCGTGGTGATCCCCGTCGTCGTCGTCGTCGTCTCGTCCAGACAGCCCCACCAGCCCGGCGTCTTGCACGTCTGCGTGCGGGTCTTGGTCTTGGTCGACGTGGCGCTCGTCGACGTCGTCGTGCTCTCCGTGCCGTTGCTCTCGTACATCTTCCAGTTGGCACAGTCGCGGCACTCAGGCGTCGACTTGCACTCAGGCACCGTGTCATACGGCAGGAGGATATCGTGGATGACCGTGCGGATCTTGTGCGTGCCAACGCCCACGCGCCACCCCTTGTCGGCCACCACGTCGTACACACACTCATAGCCCGCGTGACACGCCGACTCCAGCGCGTACCCGGCGTACGAGCATGAGGCGGTCGCGCCGTTGCATGTGCCAATGTAGATCGGGTCCGCCGTGTGCCCAAAGTGGAACGCCCCTATATGCTCGCGCGTCTGGGGGAAGTCGGGGTCGGCGCCCGGAGGCACCGGCAGGCCCAAGCGGCCAGCCGCCAGCGCCTCGGGCACTGCCTGGAACGTGACGACGGGCAGGCCGTATGTCAAGCCGAGAAACGACGTCACAGCGCCGCCGAGCGAGTGCCCCGTCAGCCAAATGTTGGCGTCCGGGTACTCGGCCGAGACGTTGGCGTAGAGCTCGCGCGCCGCCATGTAGTAGCGGTTCTCTTCCTGCAGTGCCTTGCGGACACACGTGTTGTTGCAGGCGTAGGTGCCTGTCGCACAGTTGCAGACCTGCCGGTACGTCCACTGGCCCTGCTGCGCGCAGCAGCAGCTGAAGAACAGATTGTCGTTCTCCTTGTCGTTGGTCGTCGTCCCCTCGCCGTCGAACACGGCCAGCGACGTGCCTTTGAGGCCAATCACAATCGTCGAGTTGGTCGCGTCCGCAAACACGTGGCCGCGCAGCCCATCGCCCTCCCACCCAAAGTCAGACGAGCGGTTGAAGTGCTGCCCGACGTCGTCCCAGTCCGGCTGCCCGGGCGTCTCGACGTATGCGTTCGAGGCCATGTACGCCATGTTGAGCACCGTCGTTTTGTCTGTGACGTTGGGCATCGGCACGCTGTCCACTGTCCACGCGTCCGGGGAGAGCACCGTCACGTAGCCCTGCTCGCGGGCGAGTGCCACCATGGGATCGACGACGCTCGGGTGCCGGTCGACGAGCCGCTGCAGCGGCGCGGCCTGGCTTTTTGCATGCAGAGTCGGCAGCCGATGGCGTGCATAGCCGTCCTCGGCGGCCAGCCAGACGTCGGCATCACGCTGGAGGATGTCGAGCTTTCGGTGGAGGCGTGGATATCGATGTGTGCCGTGGTGATAGATGTGTCTGAGGGTCTGAACGAAACACGGCTGGTCAGCGATACGCAGAGCATGGGGGGAAATGGAGAGCGACTGGCTGGCAACATACAAATACGTGATCAGCCGGCGCTGGAGGCTCGGGAGCGAGCACAGGGGTATGGCCGGCCGGCGGTAAAGGCAGAACGAGCTGCTCGGAGGCGCTGCCGCCGGCAGAGGCAGATAATGAGGTCGTGGAGAAGGCGAGAAAGGACAGCAACACCTGGGCCGTGACGCGGCCGGCCGAGGTACACCGCGGTTTTGACTTGCCGCGGGATGGGTATTGTTGGGACATTGTGAGAGCGAGAGCGCGAGATGTGCAAGACGAGAGGAAGAGCAGGAGAAGGGGAGATGGTGATGATAAAGAAGATAAAAAGACGAAGATAAAGATAAAATGACGAGGGCGATGTCGTGATGAGAGATGCAGTCGGACGGCCGTGATCGCCGCGTCGTTGAGGTAAACAAAGGAAAGGACGAAAGGCCAGGAATAGAATGCAAACACAGGCCAGAAACACGAGGCCGCAGTCGGGGTCGTAGCGTGTTGAGAGAACGGCGAGATGTGACAGGCCGCGGAAGATCTGTTGACTACAACGTACGGGTCGCCTCAGCGGGTGTCATGTGGGCGTCGTTTGTTGGGCTATGACGAATTGACTGATAAGGAGCAAGGCACAGGGCGGATTAGGCAGGCTGCATCGGCATCTGGGCTGGGGCGGAAGGCGCGATTGGTGGTGGGTCTGTTTTGGTGGAGAATGCTGCGTTGCCTCGTTTCCCAGGCAGGAACCTAAACGGGTGGCAGAATGAAAAGGTATCAGTGCATACTAAATTGCCGCACAGGTACTTCGAACTGGCCCATACACGTGAGCATCATCAGTTTCTCATTCAACCCTTGCATTTACAAGCCCAAGTCAAAATTTCTAATGTTCAAAACTATGAAAAAGTCTCTTTCGTACTGTTTGTTCGTATTGAACTTCAATCCCAGGATCGATACGTTCAGGATACTCTCTCAGGACGCTGTTGGTGCAGTTGAGCTCTAGTGCGCTGACTACACAGATTCACCCCGATGACCGCGGGGTGTTGCCCAATTTAGTAGCTGCGAGTCGGGCGATTCGCAAACGGCAAAGACCATTTACAGGGCAGGTGTAATCAGCACTCTAATCATTCGCAGCTGCCTGCGGAGCCCAGAATCGCGCCTGCCAGCTCAGTGTCCTCCAGTGTCACAGCGGGCAAGCACGACCAAGCTAAGCTCAATTGCGCCTGCCTATTATTCTCAGCAGCGTGCCTTTCGTCTGTCTCCACAACATTGCAGAGCAAACGACCTTCGTCTCCAACGATGACGATCGCCTCGTAATATCTTACTTTCGGACGACCACGCCTCCTCTGCCGCCGCCAACATTCGGCGTAACCCAGCCGTCCGGCATCCTTGCGGTATCTTTCCTCTCGACTCCGTCGGACGACTATTTGCTCACTGCCTCGACATCCCGCCCATCCTCCTCCTCGACCACATCGGCATCTTCGGCGCCTCAAGCTACATCAGTGCTTCTGCTTCCTCCAGCGTCACCACGCCGTTCCTATATCCCTCACCTGCTCTGATAGCCTGCCCAACGCGTGTTTTACTTGTCCTTCGCCTCCTCCGCACCAGCCTCTGTCCACGCCAGCTTTGCTCTTCTCGCACACACGCACACCACCTTCACCCCTCCGTTTATATTACCTCGCAAACGACGTACACCTCTACACAGCCCGTGTCTGTTGACCTGGCCCGCGGTTGTTTTGTGCGCTCCTCTGTCACGCCTTTCCCCGCCATATTATATTACCCGCCACTGCGGCTCAGCGCCAACAGCTGCCATCGCTGCGTGCAGTCTGTTTTCAGCTCCACTTCCAACCCCCTTGACTACTGCTGGTTTCAAGATCACTTACGGACTTCATGCGTCCGCCATCTGGTGCGTATTGGCAGCATTGTCTGAAGGCTTCCGCCTCCACCTTTTGTTTCTAGGGCCTGTCACTCGTAACAATGTTTCCTGATGCCTTAATTGCTGTGTCATCCCACGGCGGTTCCATCGTTGTTTTACATCACTCTAGTTCATCTGGGCTTTTGATCTGTTTTTCTTGTTTTCTATCCACCTCACGAAAAGTCTCCCCGCAATGAGAATGACTCCATTAACCATGTTTTCAAGCTTGACCGAGACGTCCATGGCGCCGGCTAGCTCAAAAGATGCCGCCGCGGCCGGCAAAGCTGCCGGCAAGTCAGCAAGCAATCGTCCGAGTCCCCTTCGGTCCAACCGGGCGGCTTCCAAGACAGATACAAAGAAGTCCGCATCCACATCGAGCTCCAGACAACCGTCGAGTGCCCTCGACGGCCCCTCGCCGAGCGAACAAACGACAGACAAAGAAACTCAATCGGGCAATGGCAAGGACAAGTTCGACACGTTTGGCGACGCAGCAGGGTCCGATGACAATTCACCAGAACCACCACGGGCTTCCGTCGACATGGATGAGTTGCCCATTGAGCTGATCGGTCTAGCCGACAGGTATGTGTCTACGCTCTCCATTTACCAAAAATATTTCATGACAAGCTACTGACGCTCCTCCAGCTTCATCGAGTCTCTGCAGGTCAAAGTGCACCCGACGCCGCCGAACATCGACAGTCTCTCCCAGAAGTTCCAGGACTTTTATGCCACCGCGTCTACCCACATCGCAACACACATTGCCGCCCTGGCTATGCGTCAGAACCGCGAGCGCTCACCACCACCGCCGCCCATCACCGCCCGCTCCTCCGCTGCCAGCATCCTGCGGGCCAAGGCGGCGTCCATTGGCAGTAAGGACAAGTCCAGTACACCACCACCGCCGCCACCCAAAAACGAGTCCGAGCAGCGGATGCTGTCGTCTGAGGAAATTGCCGAACGCAAGCGTGCACGACGTGTGCTGGAGCAGAAGCGGGGACTGATGGAAGAGGCTGCGGAGCGGAGGCTCTGCGAAGGTATCTACGACCGCATCTACCGGCACAGAACCACCCAGGATGAGGCCCAGGACGAGAAGCTGCGCTCCAAAACGGCCGCGCTCGACCTGGTCGGGATCAGCCCGGCCGACCTCGGCGTCGACCTGGGCGTTGCGACCTCCGCCTCACCAGAGGCAGTGGCCACAAGACTCAAGGAGGTCCGGGAGTGGCTGGAGCCTGCGCGGCAACAGCTCGTCCAGATGGGCCAGACGCACTACCCGCTCGGCAAGCTGAACCGCCTTAAGGCGGCGCACAAGAGCATCGTGGACACGTTGGCGCACTTCCACCCGTCTTCGTCGGCCGACGAGATCATGCCCATGCTGATCTATACGCTGATTACGCTGCCACCGGAGCAGCTCAACGTCGTCAGCGACCTCAACTTTATTCAGCGGTTTCGGTGGGAGCAGAAGATGGAGGGTGAGGCCGCGTACTGTCTGACCAACCTCGAGGCGTCCATCAGCTTCCTCGAAACGGTGGACCTATCCACCCTTCGCGCGGACGAGGCGCAGTCTGGGCCTGTCAAAGCCCCGGGTGCGGAGACGCCCAAAACCGAGACATTCCCGCCTGCGTACTTTGCTCAGCAAGGCCTGACGGTGCCGGTGCCGACGGCAGCGACGCCAAGCGCGCCCGAAATCAGCACCCCCGAAGCGACGGCGACGGGCATGAACCTGAAGTCGACGCCATCGCCCTCGGCGGGCCTTATTGCGGCCGTGCAACTGCGGAACCGGCGGCTGAGTGACTTAGTAAACACGCCCGCCCATGCGCTGAGCACGGCGAGCGATGCGGTCATGAACACCTTCAACGCGGCCGACCAGGGTCTCAAGACAATCGGCAACAGCCTTGAGGGTAGCTACCGCCTTCTGTTTGGTCGGCTTGGCCAGCCACAGCAGCAGCAGGTGTCCGGGCCAACCGCCGACGGTGCTGCCACGGCCGACGTTGTGCTGCCCAAGACGCTCGACGACGCACGCAAGCTGGTGACGACACCCCCTCCTGTAAGCGAGGACGAGGCCTCTGTCGACGGCGATGACAAGCAACAACAACAGCAGGGCAAGACGCCACAGACGACGCCGCCGCCACCGCGGAAGGTCTATCGACGAATCTCAAGCCTCAACATGTCCACTACAGCCAACACAGACAAGGACAAGGACAGCAAAGACGGCAAAGACGGAAAAGACGGCAAAGACGGCAAAGATGGCAAAGACGACAAGATGTTGACCGTACTGGCCGGCCGGAAGGCGACGTCGCGTGACCCGAGTGCCGACAGCTCGCGCAGCTCACGCAAGGCCCTGGCGGATGACGATGCGCCTTCCACGGTGGCTGCCACGAATCCAGCCTTGCTCGACTCGGTCCGCAGCCTGGGCAATTCGTTCAATCCCATGTCACGGCTGTCGAGCATCGGCAACTTTCGCGGATTTGGGCGCACAGCGTCGACATCGTCTACGCCGTTGGCGGTCGCAACTGGTGAAAAGTCCGACGGCGGCGATCTGGCTACAGTAAGGACCATTCCATTTTTTGAGGGAAGACGAAGAAGAAGAAGAACGACCGCTAACCTTTCCAGGCCTTCCCTGATATTGCGGCTGCGCTGCCGCCGAAACCACAGATCGCACCCCCGGTCAAGCGGTTCATGGAGCTGCACAACCCGGCCGACCTGCGGATCAGCGAAGTCATGGAGCTGCTCCGCGACTACCGGCGACTGGCAACGGCACTCAAAGACCTGGGGGCCTTTGAGAAGTGACGAGGATAGGAGACGTGAGCGGGAGAGATCAGTGTCATTTGCATGCGTTTACATTGGGCACTCATGTGATCTTCGGCCGCCTTGTTGGTGATTTCGTCATTGTACACTGCACCTAGTCTAGACATACGGAGGGTTTTGGTAACCACCTAATTCATACGCTTTTCTTCCTCTGGCTGCTCTTGTGGGCGGTTCTGTCTCATAGGCCATAATTCTACTCTATTGGCCAATATGATAGCTCTAGTCTATTTTAGGTATAATGTAAACATCTGCCACTTCAGTACATAGAAGCTGCTGTACTACGTTGGAACAATTCGAAACGAGTCTGGTCATCTCACGGAGGCACCAAAGATATCGAAAACAATGCAAATTATATGGAATAAAGAAGAGAGAGAGAATGCGATAAACGAAGAGAGTATGTACCGTGACCAAAAACAGCAAAAGGCAAGAGAGTTTGTAAGCAAAAAGGTTGTCGAAAGTCAGGCCCTAAAATAGATGTTTAAAACAAGAACAAAAAAACGCCGGAGCAGAACCGCACATGCAACACAAAGTAAAGACAATCTAGTCAATGATCAACAACAATGAGCGAGAACGTCAGAAAATTTCCGTCCTAGTGCACCGGCTTCTTTGGGCTTTGGCTGCCGGCCGGGGGCAGTGAGTAGGAGGAGGACGACGAGACGGACGACGAGGTCGAGTTGTGCTTGTACTGTTGCTGTGACGACGATGACGCCGACGAAAACGTAGATGCTTGTGAGGGCGTTGCCGAGGCGGGCTGCGGCTGGGTCTGTGGTATTTGTGGTGAGGAGGAGGCGCCGGAGGGCTCCAGGTCGCCCATCATTTTGTCCATAAAGGTAATGTAGTCGTACTGCGGCGTGCCCCGGTCCTCGGCCAGGTCGGGCCCGGCGTGCCTCGGCATCATGGTCACGAGCTTGTCAATGACCTCGTCCGGCACCAGCGAGTGGCGCAGGTCCATTTCGGTGACGTAGGGCTTGCCGTCGGCGACCTCGCGGAAGGACTGGAACACCTGCTCGGCGGTGTTTTGGTCTTCGGTGACGTCGACCATGAAGCGGATAAACTGCTCAAACGACACGCGGTCCTTGTGGATGGTGATGGAGCCGTTGCCGGTGGTGGTGCTGGCGGCGTCGACAAAGTACTCGTGCATCTCGTCCTCGGAAAAGACCAGGCCGAGCGAGGCCAGGGCGGCGGAGAACTCGAGCTCCTGCAGGGCGTTGCTGTCGTCGCGGTCAAAGTGGCGGAACACCGACTCAAACTCCTCGAGCTGGATGGGCGTGAGGTTGGTCATGCTGCGGGCGACCATCTGGTTCTCGAGGAAGGCCAGCTTCTTGGACACGCTGGCCTTGACCAGCCCCAGCTCGTAGGTCAGCTCGTCGTACGTGTACGTGGTGAAGTCGTTCTCTTCAATGTTGGCCTCCTGGCACTGGGCGTCGACGGCGGCAATGGTGGCCAGGTACTTTTCGAGGGGCGGCAGGTTCTGGGACAGCTTGCGCACGTGGTGCAGCTGGTCCTCCACGTCGCCCTCGAGGCCGGAAATGGCCAGCTGGACCGTGTTGAGGGCGAGGGCGAAGTCGTTGGCCTTGTCGGCAAAGGACTTGCGCAGGTTGTTCTTGATGTCGCGGATGGTCTCGTTGATCAGCTGGCCGCGGCTCATCTCGGACGTGGCCAGCGCCGCCCACTCGCGGTCCATGACCTCGAGGCGCAGGTCGGTGGGCGGCTCGTAGGGCCGCAGGCGGTAGGTGCCGAGCTTGGTCTTGATGTTGCCCAGCAGTGTGGCCAGCTCGCTCTTCTCGGCGACCCACTCGCGCTTCCGGCCGCGCTTGTACGAGGCAAAGGCGGCGGCCTGGGCCTTGGCGTCGGCATAGGTGCCGGCAAAGGTGGCGTCGCGCCACGCGCCGACCTGGGCGCGGATCTGGCGCAGCAGCTCGGCCACGCGGCGCTCGTAGGCGCTCTGCATCTCCCAGGCGCCCTGCATGTTGTTGACAAACTTTTCGACGCGGCGGCCGGCGTTCTCGACCTTTTCCATCTGCGAAAAGGCGTGGAACCAGTAGGCAATGTAGGTCATCAGACTGCGGTCGTCGGGCTTGGCCACGTCGCAGACGTCCTCGACGTCGAGCAGCTTGGGGATGCCGATCTCGCGGTGCGCCAGGTCAAAGGCCAGCTGCATGTTGCCGCGGCGGTCGTTCTTGTCGAGGGCGTCGTAGTCGATGAGGTCCGGGCGGTGGATGTCGAGGAGGGCGCAAAAGGCAAGGCCGTCGTTCCAGCTGGCGCTGAAGTCGCGCACGTCGACCTCGTCGTAGCACGCCGTCTTGCGCTGGCACCACAGCAGCAGGCCCTCCTTGGCCGTCATGCCCTCCTCGTGGATGTCGCTGATGGTGAAGCGCAGAATCAGCGTCCAGATGAGGCCCAGGATGATCTTGCGGTTGCCGTCGACGACGTCTTCGGCGCCAATGTTGGTCATCTGGATGCCGCGCGACTTGATAAAGTTGAGCGACAGGTTGGCGTTCTCAAAGCGCTGGACGCGCAGCTTGGGCTTGGCGGCGTAGCGGCCGAGCGACTCGTTCGACAGGCACTCGAGCAGGTGGATGAGCAAGACGCCGTCGCTCAGATCAGCGACCAGGTCCTTGACCTCGAGGTCGCGCTCCTGCAGCTTCGTGTTGAGCCATTTTGTAAACGTCTTCTCCTGGACCTTGATCCACCGCTGCTGCTCTGCGTAGGCCATTCTGGCGAGGCCTCCTCCTTGCTGCTGCTGCTCCTTGTCGTCGTCGGCGGGCGACGGGCTTGTGTTGCTGACTCGACGGCTGGTCCAGTCCCAGTCTTTGGCTTCGCGGCTGCCGTTGGTGTCTCTGCGGGCGAGGCTGTCGCTGTCCTGCTCTTTGGAGGCACTGCTGTCGCTGCTGGGCTCGTTCAGGGCCACGCTCGCGGATCGTTGGACCCTGGCGGCATGCAGCTGCTTGGCGTTGCGGCGGCTTCGCGTCAGCGGACGCTGGTGCTGGGGTGCGGTCTGGATGCTCGGTACGGCGGCAGTCGAGGGGAGCGGCGGAGACGCGGACGGGGCGAGTGACGAGAGCGACGAGAGCGACGAGGCGGCACTGATGATCGAGGCACGTCGGGGATCAAAGTCGGCGTCGACGTGGACAGGAACGGCCGCGTCGGTCGAGAAGGAGGCGGCGGAAAAGGTCGAGACCGCCGAGACGAGCGACACGGACGACGGACGGTTGACGAGGTCGTTGGGCTTGGACGGGATGGAGGGGTGTTGGGCAAGCGGCACCTGATAATGCTGGTAATGCTGGTAATGCTGATCCTGATGGTCGGGGTACGTGTGCGTTGTGTCGACTGAGTTGAATTGGTCTGGCTGGGCAGCTTCGATTTCGCCGGTTTCGTAGGGTTGGTGATACGGCGCTGTGTGCTGGACGGGTCGTTCTTGCTGCCCCTGGCGCTTGTGCTCCTGCTCGTCATGTAAACAAAGGCTGGGGAACGCCTCATTGGCTTCGGCGATAGCAGCGTTGCCGGGCAGGCTTGGCGCGGCGATGGAGGCCATTGTGTGGGAGGTGCGCTGTGTGGACAGGGGCAATAGGGGCTAGTTAGCGGTAATCGGGGCTGCACACAGCGGGTTATCGACTTCCTGTTTGGCCCTGTGGCGCGCCGGAATGGAGGGGCTTGGGTTGTATCGGGCCCCGCAAAAACGGTACGGTCGGTACTTGTGCCGCTGGAAGGGTCTGGAATGGACCTGCCCGGACGAGTGCCACAGTTGGACTGGGGGCGCTAGTCCGCTGGAAATTGGTACGCTTCGCTATTAATAGCGGATGCGGAGAGAGATGCGTTGAAGAATTCGAAAACGAACAAAGGACGAAGGACGAAGACAGAAAAATAAGAGAAATCGACCAAAAATGAGACAGATGAAAAAATAAAAGAGGAAGAAGAAGCAAGTGTGGTAGCGGTGAAATACGGGAGAAAGGAGGGCAAAAGAGCGCTTTTGCTCAAGTGTGAGAGCTCTGTCTGGGATTATATGGGATCGACATCGAGGACACAGAGTCGAGGAATAGAAAGGTGCTTATTTATGTTGTATATATTAAATAAATAAATAAATACAGAACAGCAGCTCACGAAAGCCGAAACAGTCCTTCTCTCGTCTCCCGTCGGGCCAGTCTGTCTTGCATGCGTCCTGTCATCCAGTTCTTCGTACCTTCCTGCCGCCTTCCTGCCCGCCTTCCTGTCCGCCTTCCTGCCTTGTCTGTGCCGTATTGTTGCCTCTTGCCGTTTTGGGCGCCTCTCACGCAAATGCGGCCAGGCCTGAAACACGGTGCCTCAATCTAGTGTGCCGCGCCTGCCCCAGTCCCCTGCCCCAGTCCCCTGCTGCACATCATTGTTCTGGCTGTGGGATTTCCTGCATTGAGCAGACCGCAGAGTCCCTTGTCCCTTTGTCCTTTGGTCGTCTTTTGGTCATGCCGGTCGCTTGTGTGCGACCCGCGCCTCGATTTGACGAATGGCCTGGCGTGTCTCGCCTTCGACTCTGGCACACTCCTCCCTGGACAGCCGCTGCTCTCTCTTACCTTTCCCATCGTTTCGACGCTGCCTGAATGGGGGAGACAGGGAAAATATCACAAAAGCAGGGAAGGCTGACGCGAATGGCGACAACGGCCTCGAGGACGATCAACTGGCGCTGTGTTCGTTCATGCACTCGACGTGGGAACAGGGCTCGGGGTCAAGGCCAGCAACGATGCCATCGTTTCGTTTGGAAACGCAGGTCTCGCACTACAGGATCCAGCATACTGAATACAGTGGAGAGAACGTGGCTCTTGGTTTGCCAGATAGGTTGGAGACTCGTTTCTGGTCATTCTTGGGCATCAAGGAATGGCACGTCTTGCTGGACAGGCCAATTGGGTCACCTGCTTCTCGCATCACGGCGTCTACTGGAACCAACTCAGTTCATGGCGCGATGCACGTCGCCTTACTTTCTCTGCAAGTCGTATGCCACCGTCCTCGAGACTCGTTGTTCTCCACTGTAGGCGGCCCGGCAGTGTTGCATCAGTTTATCCAGCCCAGGAGGCGAGGGATGCATGAATTCTGGGCGAGGCTGAGATCGCAAGGGGAATGACAAAATGGAGCCAGTGGCGAGTACAAGGAAGGTTGAAAATGATACAATGGGGGTTTTGTTAGCCTGCGTCTCGTCTTTTGAGGGTGTTTTATCTCCTGTGGTCTGCAAACATCAAAAGGTATCCAACAGTGCGTTGTACTTTATCCTTTACTGGATATGTCGTCTGTTGTCTCCGTTCGTCCCAAGAGAGGAGGATCATTGCGCATCGTCCTACCATCTCATATTCTCTTTGCTTCTATCAGAGTGATCCGGATCGCTTGAGCTTCCGGATCTGCCCAACAGCTGCGTTGCTCTCTTTTATGTCTCAGCTCATTTCCCCCCTTTGCCGTGAATCGGTTCCTGATTATGGCCGTTTCTCTTACATCGATGGCTAATTTCTGGATTTCGTTTAGTGTTGGTGCGAGAAAACAAGATCGTACAAAACAGGTACAAAGCATAGAGCTACTATCTGTGATTCTTCGTCTTGTGTAAGTCGGATCGCCTAGTTGGCTTGCTTTTTGGTGGAGCTTGGCTGTCGCGGCACGGCAGGAGACAGAGCGGCAGGCTCAACAGCTGCTCGTAATACTTTGAAGTGGCAGACGGGCCGGCAACGAATTGTGCGGTAGTAGCAGGAAACTCGCCTACTCCGCGCTCGGGGCCGCGGGACAGCACTCTAGCTTCATATCCTGCCGCCCGTCATGAGTGTTGCGAGCCTGGAAAATGAGAGCTGTAAAGTGCCTGTTCCTGGATGCTACCATGCAGCCGTCCGCTCGGAGTCTCGCCGATATTGCATTTGCTGTGGATAGGAAAATGATAAACAAGTAAACGGAACGAGAGAGCCCAAGCACACGGTATTTGTACAGCAGTTCGCTCGTCGCCTGGTCGTACGTTGAGGCGATTCCTAAAGGACAACAAGGTAGCTTCTTTGTTTACTTGTGGCCCTTTCATTGATGGTAGCATACGATTATTGTCACAGGCTCCTGCGCGACAACATTTCCGAAAGTAACAAAGAGCCAAGAAAAGGACCAAAAAAACTGAAGGGAACGTCTTAGAAAGAAAATCAAAATGAGGGAAAAGTGCAAAACCAAGTGCCGTAAATCTGAAAGAAATGGCTGACTCGGGATATAGAAGACAAATGGAAGTGAAAGAAGAAATAAAAAAGAGGGGTATAAAACACGAAATGAGCTGAATGTAGCACAAAGAAAATACAAAATAGGCAGCTTCGAAAACAAAATACAGTGTTGACCCCAAAACCAAAACGCTGATGCAAAATCACTCGGACGCCTCGACTCCTCTGTTTGTCTCTTCGTTTCTGGACACCACCACCCACGACTCGAGCTCCTCGAGGTATTTCCTTTCACGCTCCTTCTGCGTGGGCGGCCATAGCAGCGTCGTGGTCCCCGGCTCGCCACGCTGCACATCGTGGATGAAATCGCGGATCACCATGGCCGTCTCCAGGGCTGTCAGCCCCGTCGAGTCGATGCGGACGCCCTGGTATGCCTCAGGCGCAGTGGGCTCGCCAAAGACCGGACGCGGACCGAGCTGGAACTGTTGATTCACAAAGTGGGCCGGTTTCGAAAAATAGTACACGTCCTCCTCGCCGCAGTGCAGCTTCTTCAGGGCATGGGCAGCCTGTTGCAGTCCCGCAGGCGCCATGGCTGCGATCTGGTTCTCGGAAAACGCCACACCGCGGGCCCGAGCTGCTTGGACGTATTGGTGCTCCTCCCGTTGCCGGCACTCGAACCGACGCTGGTGCTCCGCTTCACTGCATGTTAGGTAGATGGGGATGAGTCGCCGGTCAAACACGTCCGCTGCTGTCCGGTAGCTTTTTGCCGCAAATTCTCCGCTCTCGCCGTTGTACTTTGGCAGGTACTCTGTGAAAATGACAGCACTCGCGCTGCGCTTCTCGTGGAGCAAGCCCTCTTCCAGAGCTGAATGGCGGCCGCGGTCAAGGCGGTCTGCAGCGTCGCTGCTAGGCTTCTTGCGCGCCAACGTGGAGAGCGACGAGCAATATCTGGCCACGGAACTCGCCGTTTGCGCATCTGGCTTGCTTGATTGACTGGTATGTCCACCGCCAGGTTGCTGCACGTGCTCCCCATTTTCAGCATGAAGAGCCAAGCTCAGGTGCTCGACATCGATGACGATCGCACGACCGTCCGCAAAGACCTCGATGGGCCGGTGGTGCTTGTCACGCTTGTGGGCGCTCGCGCTGGCTCGGTCTTTGGAGGGCCGAGGAGATGGGTCCCCAAAAAAGTTGAACGCCGCTTCCCGCAGTGTCGTGACGAGACCAGGTCGGTTACCATCGTCCAGAAGATACGCCAGCTCTCGTGCGACGGTCGACTTGCCAACAAAAGGTAGTCCGTTAATTAGAATCATCGGGTATCGCTCGTCAAGGGCAGGGTTTCCCGATATCTCCTGGGCCCCCCATCTGGCCAGTCCTCTGAGCATCATAGCAGTCCTATCGCTCTCCGTCCGGAACCAGTTCCTTAGAATAGCCTGCTTGTTCTCCCGTGGACTTCCCTTGTCGCCGTTGGTTGATATTGGGGGCTTGTAGTGGAGGAATTTGTCGATGCCGATGGAATGGACAAGGTTGTGGGAGCTGTCCTCGATGGACTTTCCAAGAGACTGCCAAACGCTCGTATGTTTCCCAGAGTGAGACCAGAAGTCATGCCACCGCACCATACAGTCGCTGTTTTCCAGCTGCCGACGTTCTACCTCCACCACCTTCCGTTTTGATTCTTTGTGTGGTTGAAGGAGCTTTTTGAACAAGGACAAAGTGGATTCTTTTTGTTGACTCTCTGAGCTTTTCTGAGACGAACTCTCTCGTGATTCGACACTGGATTTCCGTCGGAATGATAGTCGCCGTCCTTTGTCTCCTCGCATGGTGCAAGCCGGATATGGGAACGACGGAGAACGGGATCGACGAGATGGGGATAGCAGATGTATAAAAATCAGGTACAGCACAACTGAGAGGTAATAGAATACCACCAAGGAGCAGTCACGAACAAATTTAGGGGGAAAAGGTAGGTTGGAAATACAAGCCAAATCGAGTGGACCGGTGGGCAAGCTCTGCCCGTCTACCACGGAAGAAAAACGAGGTTGGAGAAAAGAAGGGCGACAAAAAAGAAGACGCAGAAAAGAAGTGTTTTCGGGGTAAACGCAGGAAACCCACAGGAAGCTGCCCACATAGCAAGAGTAGTCAGCCGAGAAGGTGCAGTGAATAAGTGGCAAGCACTTGCTCTTTCCCCATACGCCGAATGGTGCTGATAACGGAGGAAGGAGTTGTGTTTGTGACATCATCGCAAATGACAAGGAAGGAAGGAGCGAACCAGAGTCTCATGAGGGAAGGTTGACTATCATCAACACCCTCTGATAGCTTACACTCGTCCCAACTGCGCGGGACTTAGTAGCGTCCACGCAAACCAACGGACAGAGCGCTGCCGCCCCGCGGATACCATCAAACACCAATGTTCCGGTCGCTTTCGGTACGTACCGAAGTACACAGATGAGTTAGCACTTATTATTAGTCTTGTTCTTGTTGGAATAGCCTCGTTCTATATGGTAGCTTCATATTCGTTTGGTTGTATGTGCGCCCCTTTTCCCTCCAATAGTCAGTGGCCTCACCTAGCGTCTAGAACTGCCCTACATCTACCCATCGCCGGTTTTGTATCACATCAGCAATGTACTGTCCCTTGCCCGCCAGTCGACTTCGGAACGACTCGCACCAGAGCAGCTCAAGTGCTCCATCACCTGACGTTGCATTCATCTTATGGTAAAAGGACTCTACCACAAAGAGAGGTGCCGACAGCAGGTCGGGCTGTAAAGTGGTGGACAATGCAAAATCGAGACCACGGCACACGTTGCCAGCTAGCTCGCGTACCTCCTTGGGGCCGTAGTAGACGGAAGGGTCGCCGTTTGGGATTTGTAAGTTGCTTGGCAAGTTGGGATAGGGAGACGGAAAGGTGTCCAGCACGGGCTGGAAGATGATCTCGTAGAGGCTCTCGACGCACGGATATAGTAGGACGAGGGTCGCCCAATAGTAGATGAACATGAGGGCCGTGACGGTGTCGCGGAACGCAAATGTGTCGGCAAAGGGGATCTGGGCGTCCACTGACGTGTGTTCTGGGTCCGCAATCCAGTACCAATTGCCGATGGCGCCGTGGCCGCTGGCCCGGGTCCGTGTTCCGCCGTTCTGAAACCCACCGTCCACGCTGCCATCCAAGGCGGTCGGCGCGCGGCTCATAGTAGAAGCCCCGTTGACACTGGAGCCGCCTCGCATACCTAGATCCTGGACACTGGCGTGCCACTGCTCAAGAACTCGTTCGACATAGAGGCAGTTGGCCAGCACGTCCTGGGCCATCATCCGGCGTCCCAAGGTAGGCTGGTGGGCTGTGACATTGTCAGCGCGGCTGAGCACGGCGGGAAGAAGGGCTGCGATGTCGAGGAGGCGGTCGAGTCCAGACTTGGGATGGGCCTGCCATGGCGCCGATGTCCACTCGGGATCGGACAGGAACGTGCTTTGTCGGAATATCAGTGCGGACCAAATCTTACAAGTCAGTCCCTCTTCTCATACTGCCCCAAACTCTCACCATCGTAGCAGACGTACCGCATTTGGCCGGTAGACCCGTGCAAAGGAGTGGTGCGCTGGAAATGTGGCGAATCGAGCAGGTCCGGCTCGGCGGACACTGCTGGATTGCATGGCCGGATCCTTCCATTGTTCCGGTAATCCTGATAATAAAGGCGCATTGTGCTGGAGTCAGAGAGTCAGCTTACTGTCATCCAGCTCGAGGGCACACAGACCATACGACAACCCCCTCCATTTGTCAGGATCCGTTTCGCCCCATCTGCGTACCTCGTAGAGAAAAAGGCAAATATTCTCCGCGGGTCTCGCCTCGAAATTTCTGTGGTTGTCTCCTGTCGCTAAATGTACCATGCAGTGTGATGATAAATGAAACTCGCTGTCCCCACTAGGCGGCCGTACACTGGACGGCGTGTACGCCGGGAACGGCGAGAGATGAAAACCGCCATCGGTTTCGTTGTCGTCCTTGTGTCGGACGATGGACTGCAACTGCGTATATAGGGCCGCTGTCTGCACCTGGTGAACGATACCGCCACTGGCAACCAAGAGGGAGTCATGCCATGCTGACCGCAACGGTGGGATAAGTACTAAATCGGGCGCGCTGATGCCGTTGAGCATACCTACGTTGGGCCGCTGGGTCATCATGGCGGAGTCAATGGGTATAACAGCTGTGTCGAATTTGGCAGGTGACATGATGCCTGACAGCGTGGGTGCAAATGACTCGGATAAGTACCGCTGCTGCTCATGGATAGAAATAGGAACAGAGGGCGTTGGTGATAGGGCAGCGGCAGGTGAGTTGGATGTCGTCCTCGACACGGAAGCCGACCGTGAGTTCGAGCGTGACTTGGGGCTGGATCTGCTCTTTGCACCGCTGCTGCTGCTGCTGCTGACACTGGTACTGCTTCTGCCAATGTTGCTGGGTGTGTTGACTGCTGTTGTGACTGGCGTTTTAGGCTTGACCACGCGAGGCGGATGGGACGAACACCGGCCGCCATCTTGAGGTGTGCCGATAATAAATACTGTCTCACGGTCATAGCCGGCACACTCGCGGCCGGTATCGTGGCACTTCTTACAGTAGGGGCGTGTGTTGTCGCACTGGTGTTCATGTTAGGAGTCAGGCAAGAAAAGAGGGCAACAACAGGAGTGCCAAAAAATGAAGTATACGATCTGGAGAAAACAGTCCGCCTCTCTCTTCCGCACGTCATACCTTGACTCTGCGTAATCTGCAGGTCTCACAACCTTTGAATTTTCCCGGAACGCCGACCATGTTGACTATGTTGAGACGTGCGTGTGTGTGCGTGTGTGTGTTTGTGTACGCCAAGGAGGGAATTTGCTGATGTTTTGTCAGTTGAAGGATGCTGACGTCGATATCGAGAAATCTGGGGGAGCTAGTGTGACAGGAGTGTCACAGTATTTCGAAATTCGTCGCCCGGCCGTTTTTAGAAAGCCTGAACCTCAAAAGAGCAGGGACAAAACGGGTGAGCAGCTGCTCATCGACACTGTCCACGCTGTCAACCTTGCCGACGTTTTTTCCCAACGACTGCCACGTGCTGCCCATGCGCCGTCGATTTAGAACAGACACATCTGCGGTGGATCAGTGGCAGTTGCTCCGGCGGGTAGCCAACCCGTTTTCCGTTTATAAGCTTTTTTTTCGTCCCCGTATCTGCGTATCTGTTTTCGTTTAGGGGTTGGTATGGTGGTGGCGAAGTATTTATCCTCAAGATCGGAACCTGCCCGGTAAAGAGAGACCATTAAACTGGGAGGATAAGAGAAGAAAGAAGCAGAATGTTTCTTGAAGAGACAAATTCAAATAAGTCAGGCATATACGCAAAGTATGTATTGGTTTCGTTCGAGACGTACTGCAGAGAGGATGGACAACAAAGCAAAACGAGGAAGGTGTTGACAAGATATATGAGTTTGCAAGAAAAAGTGTGACAGTCAAAATGATGTTTAGTATGCACTCTGTGCTTTGGAAATAGTCACAAGAGGGCGCTAACAAGTCAGTGAAGTAAAATATGGCAGCAAGGCAGCGGAGCACTACTCCGTAGGGAGTATGAATAATAAATGGAGAAAAATATACCATGGATGAACGAGCCCGGTAATCGATCCGCGTAAAATGTAGGCTGGAATCCAGATCATGCTCCAGGACAATACAACACCTGTACCAGAAGGAGAAGCGGAGACGGAGACGAGGATACGACTGAGGGCAGGTTCGGGACGCCGAAGAGAGGGCTGAGGGGCGGGCTAGGGAAGGCAAAGGAGTGTGTGTGGGTGGACCTGGTATGTCTGTTTGTGTCTGTGATGAGGTGATGGTTAAGGAGGAAATAAACCGAGTGTGCGAACCGAGTGTGTGGGCCTCTTCTTGATCTTGCCTGCGAATCTGGTCAGGTAATCGTCAGCCACAGGGGTGTGCCCAAGACAGATGTGCCGCCAGACACACTCACACAGAGAAAAGAAAAAGCCACATGGAACCTGACAAGGAGCATAAAGAAGGACGCCAAGGTACCTCCTCTCGTGGCATGGGAGAGCGTCCCAAGCGAAGAGGAAGGCGGGCTAGTGTTGTTAGACACGTCTTTGCAGTGGGGGCTTCAGCATTGACCAGTTCGTTTCCCATTTCAGCCAAGCTTCTGGTGTTTCTTTTCTTTTCTTTTTTTTTTTTGTGCTTGGAAATCGGTATCAGCAGCCGAAAAGCTGCCTGCATAGGGGAAGGGGGGGTGAAGCGAAAGCGGTTCTGGCAGCAGGTATACCAAACTCGGTTCGATGAACCGGGGCAGGGCAAGTTTCTGTTCTGATTTGGCTAGAAGGGAGAGAAAAGTAAAAGGAAGAAACCCTATTCGAGTTTGTGAATAAATGTGCAGAAAGGGGGCTGAGCGTTTTTCGATTATTTGAATATTATTCGAAAAATGTACGGAAGCACTCTTATATCGCTCGAAACCATGGGCTAGAAGCAGCGACCGACAGCTGCTGCTTGGCGTGGAAGGAGCGGAAGGAGCAAACCCAGTATGGGGGACAATAAACCGAGACAAAGGGAAAGAGACGGAAGCAAAAAAAATAAAAGAAAGAAACTACAAGAAAGTCAAAAACGGGAAAGAGCCGTCGAGACATAAAACACGAGAGGAGCAACGAGCAATTATTTTCGTGAATACTTCTGGAATACTTCTTGAATACTGATAACCACATGGCCTATCATGACAAGTAGATGCATGTCCCATGGCGCTTTCGCTCGTAGCCGCTGGCCATCTGTTTGTGAGGCGTGGTCTGACCGGAGCCTGGTGGCTGTGACCGCGCTACCGAAGCTCCTAAAGCTTTGCTGGAAAGCGCCCATGCAGCGCCAATGCGCCACATTGCGCCCTAATCTGTAACTAAAACATAAATATTGAACGGCTAGACGAGAGCTTTTGCACATTCCTACATGGCCTGCCCGGTAGCTGTGCGGTACACTCTGTCGTAAAAGCTGATAAAGACGAATATACAAAGGGAAGAGTAAAGGAGGAAACGCCAGGGAGAGGAAGAGGCAGCCAGCTTGCATTGTACCGAATAGAAGTCAAGTCGTCAGAGCACGAGAGAAACACGAATCTGTCGAGATTTGAGGGCCACTGAGACAATCTAAGTGGTAGACAAAGTGGTAGAGAGTGGCCTCTGTGACGAGAAGGATATCGAGTGTACGCTCTATTACTCTGTTGTGCTCACTGGAAGACTTTCTTTTATGATATTTTGTTTACTTTTTATACTTTTGAACTTGCACTTAGTAGACGAGAATTGATATTGACATTACTAATTTTGCACATATTTTTATGATTATTGATTCCTGCAAATTACGTACTTTCGTTCCGACCTTGGGAAATTTCCTCTGTTGTTTTCATTTTCGTTATTTCTAGTTTTCACTTTCAGCCGACCTTCAGCTCACCCAAACGGTAACTGGTGAGACAGACTGTGCCGTTGGCAGCGTGAGGAGAGGGCCACCGCGACGTTTGCCGACGGAGCATTGATGGTAAAACATGAGGTGGCTGGAAAGGAGCCAAAAAAAGTTGGTGAGCAAAAGGACCCGTGGTACTTTTACATGACAGACCCCGGAGGGGAAACGAAGAACAGGCCGCATTAAGCATGCATCTGGACAAGAGGCAGAACATAGCTGCACTAAGAGGGCCTTCCAGCCCATCTTGAGGATGTTTGTTAGACAGCAAGACACGCCACACAGCGCGCTGCAGCGTTAGCCAGTAATACTACTAGGACCCGGTAGGGCTGCAGGTGGCAGGGGTGAAAGGAACGCTGCTTTCCTTGGGTACCAGGGAACAGTTTGGCAGGTGGACAGGACATGGGCACAACATGGCAATGGCGTGGCAGGCGTTTGCCCGAACCAGGGGGCCTTGCCTGGCCTGTGTACGGTCCGTTGTGATCAGCCCAAGGTTGATGGGGGAAGCGTGGCTGGTTGTCATAGCTTGTCCGCGACGCGCCCCAGTCCAAATAATACACAGTAGTGTGCTCATTGGAGTTAGCCAGCTTGTTAGCGAGTTGCGTCGGGCTCAAGTCTCCGGAATTTGCTGTGGACGCGAGATTACGATGCACGCGCGAGGAGGACAAGTCTGTTGAAATTGATGTTGTACAATGAGGACGTCGAGCTCGTGCAACTGGGCCACCTCAGAGGCACGTGTAGAAATTACGCAAGTAGACCCGCTGGTTTGGTTTGTTATTACAGAGTAATATTATCTGCCATTTATTGGCCGATGACGCTTGCCACATTTCCCGCCTTGCCAGTTGACCCACGGCCAAATGAGACGTCTACAGCATATATTGGGAGGTAGCGAGGTGCTTGATGGGAACCGCTTGCTCTGGACCGTTCTCGATTTCCGTTCCTGGCCCAGCCGTCGCAATATCGCCTTTTCGGTATGCACATCGTGACCGATTCTCGTTGCTAAACCCAAGGAACGAGCTGCACTTGCCGTGCATCGCCGCAGGTGGAGTGTCACTGTCAAGCAAGAGCGACAAGACCAGAATGATGGGCTCAATTGCAGCCGTTCCTTCCTCGCTATGGCGCTCTTTCCCGTGCGAATCCATTCCGCGCCTTCTACTCGCACCTGCCTGGGTATGCGCCCCAAGAAAAGCTGCTCCTCTTGCTCCTTCCTCGTTGTTCAGCCCTGTGCGGCTCCGTACATTTTGTCGGCGGCTTGGACAAACCACCAGCGATAAGCTGTTGCTGTGCTGTCCAGTGGAAACAGAGGTCTGGAGCGTCGTAAAAGTGACGAACGGGGTCTGGCCAGCCGCCACGGCTTTCCCCGTGGCACTAGAGGTTCTCGAACTTTGTATTGGCATATATTGGCGCTTTCCTAGCCTCCCCCAACTAGTCTCTAGTGGGGAGGGCGCTCTTTCCTCTTTCGAACATGCCTCCTTCACAATACTGTGCTGCAACATCCAATATTATTTCCTGCCCCCGGTTTTTACTGGTGCTGTTCGCTCTTTCTGTCTTAAACTCACGATAATTCCGACACTGTACAACATACATACGGCTGCCCCTTCCTTCCTTTGTACCGTCCTTGCCTCAAAGAAGAAAGACGCCGTTCCTAGACGGGCAGGGGTATTCTATTACTAGTCTACTTTGGAAGACAAATTAATATTAAAGAAAGGAAAGAAGAAAACCATTTCTGGCTCTCGTTGCATCAGATCCCGACACCAGCCCAATACACGCTTCTTTCGTCTACCAGCACGAGCCACCCGCATTCCTCCTCTACGCTCCCCCTTGCATGCATTTCCGTCGTGTCTCGACTGTGTCTTTGTCGCTTTTGCTGGAGTGGGTCTTTTTTCCGGGTGGACTGCGACAAATACGACGTACGTCTGCATCAAACATTGGGAGGAGATGCCCGTTTCTCTCGTATCTGGTCCGTGTCTCTGATCAGCCAAAGACCCAAAGGGGATCAGTGGGTGCCCGGCGCGGTGCCGAAGCGATGCAACAAAGATTAAGCACCAACTACGACTTTTCAGGAACGTGCAGAAGTTTCTTATGTTACCACGCATGGTGGCTCATAGAGACACTGCAAGAAGGTGAAAAAGATACATACGATGCACAGAGGTGCAGCACTTGGACAGAAGAGGCCTCCGCCTAGTCCCTCTTCATTTTCGGTCTCCGGTCTGGTGCAGGTGATGTATATGTGTTCCACTTTGTTGTGCTTCATGATCTCTTGTTCGCTTGCAATTTCTGCCGCTCTTCCACTGTCCCGGTTTCTATCGACTCTGTCTCCATGTCCGTCGCGCGGGGATAGAATCATACATGAATGTCGGCCGTCTCAGGTCACTCGCATGAGACAAACCCAAGTCCCCGCTTTCTTGCGTTCTTGACCGCCTCATCTCCCTCTAGATGTACTTGTACGGGTTCATGATGCCGTTCTATATTGGTCAGTATACGATATCAAAGCGATGTTGGTGGAAAATGGGCAAAGTAAGTCAGAAACAGACTAGGATGCAAAACACTCACAGGATCAAACGTGTTCTTGATCTGCTTCATCAGACCAACCATCGTCTCATTCCGGCTGTAGCCAATGTACTTCTTCTTGGCCAGGCCGAGGCCGTGCTCGGCGCTGATGCTGCCTTGCCGTTTGGAAATCCACTCGTAGACAAACGGCTCCAGCGCTGTCTCGACGGCTTCGTCGTATCGCCGCACCGCAATATTCAGATGCAGGTTGGCGTCGCCCATGTGGCCGTAGCCAACGACCTGCGCCGCCGGGAACTCGTCGCCGTCGCCAATCAGGCCCTTGGACTCGAGCTGCGCACGTGTGTCGTCGACCAGCTTGTACAGCTCCGGAAGTGGGATCGAGACATCATACTTGTACACGCCGCCGAGGTGGCCTAGGCACTCCGTGATGCCCTCGCGCCACGTCCACAGCGCCTTGACCTGCGTCTCGTCCTGCGCCAAAACACCATCCTCGACAATCTCCTTGCCCATGACGTCTTCCAGGAACGCCTCCAGCTTGGCGGTGTCGTGCTCGGCGTTGGAGCCGCTCGTCTCGATCAGGCAGTAAAAGTCGTGCTCTCCTTCGAGCGGCCGCCGGGCGTCGGGCCGCACCGTGCGCACAATCTGCTGGCTGCCGGCGTCCATAAGCTCAAAGGCCGACAGGATCTCGGACAGCTGCGCCTTGGCCTCGCGGAACGCCCTGAGCGCCTGGTCGTAGGACGACAGGCCCAAGAACGCTACATTGACAGCGGCGGGCCGCTGCGGGCACGCAATGGACACTCCGGTCACGATGCCCAGCGTGCCCTCGGCACCGATAAACAGCTGCTTGAGGTCGTAGCCCGTGTTGTTCTTGCGCAGCTTGCACAGGTCGTCGACAACCGTGCCGTCGGGCAGCACGGCCTCGACGCCGAGCACGGTGCCATGCAGACTGCCGTAGCGCAGCAGCCGCAGGCCGCCCGCATTGGTCGACACGTTGCCGCCAATCTGGCACGAGCCCTTGGCGCCCAAGTCCAGCGGGAACAGGTAGCCACGCTCGGCCAGGTACGCATCGGCGGCCTCGAGCACGACGCCCGCGTCGACCACCAGTGTGCCGCTGACCTCGTCAAACGAGCGAATCGTCTGCATGCGGCTCGTGCTGAGGACGACCTCGTCGAAGACGGGCACGGAGCCGCCCACGAGGCCCGTGTTGCCGCCCTGGGGCACCACCGCCAGCCGCTGGTCGTTGCAGTACTTGAGCACCTTGCTGACCTCCTCCGTCGAGCCGGGCCGGAGCACCAGCTTGCCGTGGCCGCGGTACTTGCGCATCCAGTCGCCGTTGAACGGCTCAACGTCGTCCTGGGACGCCGGGTCCGTCACGGCGTCGACCACGCCGTTCTCGCCCAGCAGCTCCTTGAAGTAGGCGACGTGCTCGCGCGTCAGCGCCGCAAAACGCGAGTCGCGCTTCAGGTCCGGGTAGCGCTCCGACGTGCGCGTGATATCGGCTTGCCGTGCCTGCGTGGGCCGCCATAGCCGGATGGGGGACGTGGAGAAACCCCGGGCCGCGGCCACCGCCCTCCCAAAGGTCGTGCCGGCCGGGGTTGCTCTCCGTGCGGCGCATGCCGATCGTAACGCAGCAGTCTTGGGTGTGGCTGTCTTCCGCAGCACGGAACCAACTTGTGCCTTGAACACCATAGTCGAAAACCAGGCGCACAAAATCGATAAAGGTTGCCTATGACGTTGGTTTTTCCGAGAGGAAGCAAGGCCTAAAAAAAAAAAAAACAGCAAAGAAAATAAAAGAAAGGATTTTGCGCCCCAGTTGCTACCTTTCAGCAGTAAATCGCCAAGAAGTAGTCCCGACAATGCCAATGCCACCTCCAAAATCCAATTACGTGCTCGCGGTTGCCAAACGCTCGTTCCTCGCCCGTTTTCGGGGCCACTGTCTTTGCATGCAACTGTTTGTTCAAGAGCTTTACCAGGCACCTTTTTCTGGCCTGCTATTTTACTATTCGCCGCAGCTGCCGTAGTCGGCCTCGTTATCGTCTTCCGCTCTTCTTACCAAATTGGGCTATCGACACGTGACTTGGTTATGCACTGTGGGGCTATTCATGAAGCACGACGAGGTACACGAAAGACCCACATACTGCCCAATCTAGCCAATCAGAGAAAGTCGCCGCGCCTTCCCTTAACCACAGGCTTCCAGCTTCGTCAGAGCTTTTGGAGCCTGGTGCTGGACCTGGCGTTTTGGCTGCTTGCAAGCACCGTCAGCACCTCCTTCAAACGCGCAGCATCAAGCTCCAAGCCACATCACCGTCCGTCCGCATTCTCGCCCATCACCACACTCGACGACGCACAACGACGGCATTCAACCAGCTGCCGGGCACCAATTCCATACATCTACATACTTTTCGCATCTCGAGTCCTCTGCGCGTCTCAATTCGCCATTCCCGCCCGCCGCCCCAACCTCTCTAAACAGCCATGGCTTCGGGTTACGACAGAGCTCTTTCTGGTATGTTTGGAGAAAGGAGATTATATAGAGATGCCGGTTGGGATGCATGCTGACCCTCTTTGCTGTCAATAGTCTTCAGGTGCGTATCCACGATGCGTGCTTCTTCGGCCGCTTTCCCGCAACACCGCCCCGCGATCTCCAGACTGTCTTTTGTCGCTCAACAACTCTAACGTTCTGTCAGTCCCGATGGACACGTTTTCCAGGTCGAATATGCCGGCGAAGCAGTAAAGAGAGGTACGATTGTGGCTGTCCCTCCGGATGCGTGGCTGGCGACGTGCCTAGGCCACACAGTCGCGAACGGCAAAACGGCAAGCTGACAGATGTCCACCACACAGGAACGTGCGCCGTCGGCGTCAAGGGCAGCGACATTGTGGTGCTCGGCTGCGAGAAGCGGTCCGCCATGAAGCTGCAAGACACCCGCATCACCCCGTCCAAGATCGGCCTGCTCGACACCCACGCCTGCCTGGCCTTTGCCGGCCTCAACGCCGACGCGCGCATCCTGCTTGACAAGGCCCGGTTAGAGGCCCAGTCGCACCGCCTGACCGTCGAGGACCCCGTCACCATCGAGTACATTACCAAATACATTGCCGGTGTGCAGCAGCGGTACACGCAGAGCGGCGGTGTGCGGCCGTTTGGCATCAGCACACTGATTGTGGGCTTCGACAAGGGCAGCAAGGTCCCGCGTCTCTACCAGACCGAACCCTCGGGCATCTACTCTGCATGGTGCGTCTTGTCCCCCCTCCCAGTTCTTTCTTTTCTTTCTTTCTTTCTGCTCGCACGTCTTGCAGTACACTGACCATTCCATGTAGGCGGGCAAACGCTATCGGCCGCTCGAGCAAGACGGTGCGCGAATTCCTCGAGCGCAACTACAAGGACGACATGGACCGTGAGCAGACGATCCAACTCGCTATCAAGTCGCTACTGGAAGTGGTGCAGACCGGCGCAAAGAACATTGAGATTGCCATCATGGCACCGGGCAAGCCTATGGAGCTGCTGCCGGTCGAGGACATTGAGAACCATGTCAAGAGCATCGAGCAGGAGAAGCAGGAGGAGGCGGCCAAGAAGAAGGGTGGCCGGTCAGGTGCCGGCGGCAGCAGCACGGCCACGACCAGCGCCGCTATCCCGACA